GGAAAGAGGGCACAAACAATATTGTGTGTCTCCTACTGCAAGCAATATGCCAACTACCCAACTGTAATGTGCAAGAGATGCCAGAATCTTGAGTACTTTAGCAGTCAGCTACAGAGTGACTTTCTTCTCAGAAACCCCTTGCTTTACGAAGTTCCTTCCATTACCCACCCTGGTCCTCTCTGGGAACCAGAGGACTAAGAACTCTACGAGTTCAGTGCAATTCCACACTGGTATCCTGAGAATACGTGTAATTTTGGTTCAATGTGGAACTGTTTTGCCACCACTAGTGCTCTAAAATCAGCTGTTACTGCAATATCCATGAAGTATTGATAGTAACAGCAACTTATCTATTTCTGCAATAATTAAGAGAGACTATTTTTATATAAGTATACAAGCATATATATATATTTTAAGAAGTAACAAAGCACACTTACACTTCAGTTAACAAAATGGACTTGGTAACATTGTTGCTGGAGTTCTGTTTCTGATAATCATTATGCACCACTAGCAGCAAAAAATAGTGCCTGTATCTCTTTGCTTCCTAATAAGGAAAGATCTATATGTGTGCAAAGTAAAAGTAAAAAATAATAAGTCAGATCATACCAAACTGTAAAACCAAGATCTGCACTGCCTTGGATGTTGAGGTTTACTTATCTAATATGAAGAATTGATAGGCACTGACTTGTTCCTGAAATTATAATCTGCACATTATATGAAAACAGACTTGCAAGTAGTGAGTGTTTCCCATACTGTAAAATATCTGGATCGGTTAACAGCACCTAACTGTAAACATCCAGTTAACACTGTACTAGGAACATAGAATGGGTACCTAATGTTTCTAAAAAAATGCCTGTGTCTTCCAAGATACTTCTTGTAAATTTTAACTGTAAAGCTTCAGTGTGACAGCATCTAGGTGATACAAGATCATATGATGTATATTTAATACATTATTCAAAAAAAAAGCCTGCTTAGCTGCTCAAGGTGTAAAGGACATCACATGAAGTTATTAATTCCATATATCATGTGTGATAGAACGATTCAACACTTCATAAAACAGTTATGATTGTGAAATAGTTTCACATATGACTATCTCCCTACAGCCCTCTCATGCACCAAGTCAGCAGGTCACAGCTGTTCTTGGTCCATACACACAGGGCCAGGTGGTCTCTACAGAGAGCTCTGAACAGCCACAGCTCAGTGCCTCCTCCCAGGCTAAGGAGCATTTTCCTGGCACAGACGTGCAAACAGCAGAACTTCGCCCACAGGCTGCACAGCTGCTGCCAACGATGCTATTATGGTCATTTGCAGGCAAAGCAAAGGCAGTTTGAATTTAAATTCTGGGAGGTTTGAATTAAATTTTTAAATTGTCCCCAACATTCTCAGCAGCTCAGTCCTGGGCTAATCTACACCTGGCAGGAGGGTATCTTTAAATAACAGTACTTGATTTTAATTTGATATAAAGAATGTCAGAATTTAACCCTACCACGCCTCCCCTTTCTGCAGCAACCCTTTCTGCTCTCCATCCCATCTGATCCCCTCAATGGGTAGCTGGGAAAGCTGCAGAAGGGGAGGAAAGGCACTTCAGAGTAGAGTATGGAAGAGCTGCTGCTGGCAGGCCTTCACCAGCAGCATTAAGAAAGTAGAGACTTTTCTATACAAAAAGTCGTCTTTGTCATAGTTTCTGATGCCTGTAAATTCTCAAGATACTGCTTAGATAGTGCCTGGAGGAACAGGGCTTGATACAAAGGAACAGATCCTGCCTGACCAATTTGACTAAAACTCCTTGACCCAAGGGTATCTCAGACTATGGATGACAAAGTGTCCCCTCACTTAAAATATACACACCATGTTGTAACAGTGTTGTTTGCAGGCCCCATTCAAGATCAGGGCTTCATTTTGCCATCTTGACTGTGTGATAACTACTATATTGCAATCGAATATCTGCCAGGCTAAGTAGACAGCAAAGAGAAAATGGAAGTAATCTCCAGCATTTTCATTTGATAGGGGGCTTAATTTAATTGAGCAAAATCACTTGAAAGATCTGTAGCAAAGCCATTAGTTCATCATAACTAAATAAACATCAGTCAACCACAGTCTGCTGGGCTGCAGTGTGTTTTTACCTACAGGCTTCTGAGTATTTCAAATGGTCAGTATTGTAACAGAAGCGAAATAGGAAAAAAGGCAAAGCAAAACTTGCTTCAAATAGAAGCAAACCAGAAAAAGCCAGTTTCAACACTTAAACTCAGCTGATTTCTGTCCCAAACCACACACTGTCCTACAGGTATAAGTCACTTATCTCAGTGCACATAGTAAAATACTTTAAGGTACAATTTATAAGAAAATTATCATTTATAAGAAAACTTCAAAACATGCAAAACAAATCTTGAAAGCTCTCAGTTTTGTTTTGAAAGTGTTACTCAGCGCTTCAGTCCCTCTCTGTGTGCTTACCTTAAGGAGAGGTTGACTGCATGGTTACATCTTAAAGTTGCCATAGGATGAGGTGGTGAATGTCATTTTCCAACACTGTGAAAGAAATTTAGAATATGATTGGAATTTGTAACTTCATTTGATGTCTACAGTACTGCCTGGTGCCACAGAGCAATGGTCTTAAGAATGGATCCATGTATTGTAAGCACAGTTGATGGGTTAATTTGGGTTTATTCAGAGATCTACCCCAACCTTCTATTGTTTTTGTGTATCTATTTACAAGACCAACACACACAGTGTTTATGTTGACTTTAATATGGCCAAGAAAAGAATTCCTCACCTCTCTGATCCTCTCTGCATGCAGGTTCACTTAAGTTAAACTCCAAGGATATTTTATCTCATACAAATGTATTGTGCACCCTTTTTCACAGTGTATTGATGTCAAAATTCTCTGTTTATTGCATAGCTGTAAAATATGGAAGAAATATAACTAGAATTCAGGCACCTAAGAGGAGAGGGAATATACCTGTCATTACTAATACAGTCTTTAGCTTCAGAAAAACTTCTGTGGTTGTTTTACTTACCTCCTCAAATTACTGTTTTCCATAACCCACTCCTTCACTATCCCTATGTCTGAAATAGTTCAAGCAATCCAAGTCTAT